GGAGAAAATACGATTGGGATGATGTAATGTGATAGTTTAGAGGAGTTATAGTGCTGGTAGTGTGATAGTTTTAAAGTAAACGGTTAAAGACAAAAGATCAAATAGCTAATTTGGGTGTAACCAATTCTCTTCAATGTTTTGTGAGAGTGAAAATAAACCTTATGATCACAGCACGTTTTCAATTCAATCTTATTTTCTGTCCAGGTTCTTTGCGGTTAAACATGGCATTAAACATTTTTTGACGCGAGTTGCCATGTAGTGTGTGAGAGTTTGTAAATGAGGAAAATCGATGGTCTCTTTGGGAGTAGCCATTAATGAGTATCCTTACCAACCTCAGAGTTTTGTAGATAAAATTCTACGGTAAATTTTGCTGTCATTCCACCAAATGACTATTGTTTGATGAAAGCCATGTCTGGATAAACCACTCCGTCTCATTCATTTGTTTATATGTGAATTTCTGTGATAAACTGGGATGAGCAAGCAGTACGGGGTAACTGCAGTCGGGGGCGCCACCGGTTACCGTTCCGGATAGCCCATTCCGATCGAGCAATGCGGCTCAATCAAATCACTGTGCTAGCATGGATGCGGATTCCAATTAGATAGTATGTCTGAGGCCAATGTACTTTCTTTGTATGAATTGTTTATTCTTTTAGATTTTACTCAATAAGCTAATCACCACCTTCGTGACCGTATTTGTGTATCTTTGGGTTGTGAGACCTGGGAGCCAATTACGAATGTGTTTCTCATCTCTGTTGTTAATATATTGAACAAAAATCCCGACTTGTTTGTAGTATGAATCTTTTGTAATTCTTTGAACTGCCAATTCTACAATTTTAAGACTTAAAAGAACTGAGTTGAAAGTAAATCAAACATACCGTGACTGGATGCATTCCCCCAAATGCGATAGATAAAATACAGGATAAACGTGTGACTTGGAAACCTAAAACCATATCCGTTTCGCAATTTCAAACTACAAAATGCCGTTGTAGGACTGAATTGGTGCAGCTCCCAATCTCACCTCAACCAGTGCAAGAAACGGCATAGTTAACCGTTGCGCAAAATGGACTGGAACCTAGTTTGTATGCAAAGTAAACTTTTAAGGTAGAATTATTGGATGGAAAACGGCATTAATAAGTTAAACAATTGGATATTTCTTCTTCCAATCGATCGTACACGCTGTTCTCTAACCGTCATCTTTGATCATCTTGGCACAATCTCCTGAATCAATTCGACGGAGTATAAGTCTCATCCACGTCATAAACAGACAGTGTCTATGAAACTCAACGAGTTTCAAACAGTGAAAGAGTGTTACCCAGTTGTTAATTTCACTTTACTCAATCTATTTGCTCAACCCGTATAGTTATCCTTTTAAAATGAAGTTTAGGTTACCGGGGCCAGTAAAGCCGAATTGGGAGAGCAGATTAAGTGATGACCATTATGATACGAATGTCATTGCTCAAATTGAACGGAACAGTAACATCGTCAAACACAAAAAGGTTTAAAGTGTTCAAACAAATTCTCTCACGGATAGATACTATTAACTTACTTTAAACGCCCCTAAAGTAGTACTGCTTAACATAAATGCTTTGAGTACAATCGTCGACATACGGTTGTCCAGCTGCTCAAACAATTTCATGAATGATTCCAGTGCGTCTGGGAACGTCTGGAAAGTGTGGTTGGGAACATGATCTTTGTGTGAGAATTTACGTACCTGAGAAATACGGTAATAATGCATGTAGTACAAAAAATACTCTTGATTGATCATTAAAAATAGTTCGGAAATCTTGTTGTGTTGTTGTACACCTTCGAAAGCTTTGTTAGTCGTTCATGAAGTATGTGATGTGTGATCTGCACTGATCATATCGTTTCACAATGAGTAATGAATGAGGTATTACGCGAAACGACCTTTTGATTTTGTGTGTGTATGTATGTAGGTACTCAGTGGTTAGCCTACATATCCCGTCTAGATGCATGAACACCACTTTGGACTGTCGTTTCAGTGACCGCCACCAGCTGACTTGGATGGAAATTGTTTCTGAATGGCATATGTTGTTCACCAAGTGGGATATCGACGGTGCAAAAAGAAAACTGAAGCAAGCCTTTCCCGAGATCAATTTCAAAAGAAAAGATCAAATTGCAATACTGCACGATTTATGTCCAGGACGATTTCGCTGCATCTCAGCATACCGCAGAAAAAACATCAGTTATATAGAAATTTAGCATGGCAACAAAAAAGAGTAAAATACAATGAAACAGTCAAAAAAGAGCCGGAGTTCACAGCCACTCTTTCCGCGAGACGGAGGACATCCTATTCACTTATTGTCACAGGTACATCATTTCATTATAAATAAATATTTATGTATCGCCGGCTTGCGGGCAACCTTTGTGCCTAAACAACAATAGGAATAAAAGAACATGAGTATCCCTAACTAAAGACAGCCTTCATCCCATGGGTACCAACCCGGAAGGCTGAATGCACCAACCGGAGCGAGAGCTAAAATCAGTTTCTTCATACCTCTACGCCATGCCATGGTCTGACCTCCGCGGTGCATCTGCCAGCCTTGCCCGGCACGTGTAAAGAGAGCACGGAAAGGTAGCCGATGGGTAGGCATACACAATACATGACCAAGCCATCAGAGACAGTTTAGAGCGATTACTTTTGTTACTGAGTGATTATCCACATCCAACACACGACGATGAACCTCGCCATTGCTCACTTGATGTCCCCGCGAGAAACAGGCACTGCTTCGGAGACATCGGTGGTCGAATACAGAAAATCGGTTAGCGCGTAGGGGCCAGGTCTCGTAACCCTCTGATAGAACTATATCAACCGCCGCAATGAATAGAATATCATCCTCCCCAACACCAACACTAGCTGCGATCAAGCTCCCGAGGTACTCAAAGCTCTCAACCACTTCCAGGACCATATGATTTCAGTGATGGATTGTAGAATGCGAAATACAAAGTGCATTTTTTGCAACGATCATTATCATTTTTGAAATCGCGATTTTTTAAGTTACGTGACAAACATACTTCATGGTATATTTCGATAGCCCTCCTTACGTTACTTCAAGTACAGTTGATTTGATGGAAATATCTTATTCTGTTCCGGATAAAAGGTTAAAACCGTCATTTTGATTGCTCAGTACTTGAAGGAAAGAAATTCTGCTAGTTCTTCTGTGGCGGTTAAACAGATTAACTACAGTCCGCAATCAGTAAACAGATCGGTTTTGAATTTGAATAACAATGAGATGTACATCGATCGATAGGGCATGATTTATCTGTTCCAGCTGAACATGTCCCAATCCGATTGCTCAAGAGGAGATAGACAGACAGACAGACAGACAGACAGACAGACAGACAGACAGACAGACACATACGGACAGGTCGTGTGCGTGCAAGGTAACACAGACCGGACATTCCATGGAATTTGGGCCGTGTGTGACCAAGGCAGATCACAACACAGCTTCTCCCGCACTGTAGTGGAAAATCTGTGTTAAATTCGCATTCTCCGGATAACGCTGAGAGGCTTGATTGGCAGCTCCGATGAAGTCGACGAGACAGCTTGAACTGATGTTATCACAACTTTAAATGATACCCGGACATTCTGATTTGATCCTCGTACAAGTTGAATTGCAATAGGTATGGTCAATATCGATTGCATCTTACATGCTACTTGACGATCTTAGCTTACAAGTCCATCCGGGGAAAAACAGTGCTCGATTCATCATAACAACATACCCGGTCTTCTGTGGACAAACAATCCATCGTGGAGTCCGTAAATTTACGATAGGCTTCCTGATACTCCTCGTAAATCATATTGACTCGCGTTGTGAGTGCCTGTCCGACCACGCCCAGAATTTCAACTTTTTCCAGGCGATTGTAATCAAGCAAAGTTTGATAGTAAACCTTGACAAGTGAAAGAAAGACGAGCAGGGCTTATGAATAATCTCATCCACTGTCACTGGTGCTGACTGGGTGAAATAAAAATAATAGCTGTCTCGATGTTAGTTCACTAATCGCGCGTCTCATTAAGAATGCACAGATTTCATCACCAATCAAATTAGCATTTCCATTGAAGCTACTTGGAAAAAGTCATTCGGGAATCTGTACACTCTTGGTGATGAACCGTCCGGAATCGAATACCAACCTCGTCTAGAACGTCAACACTAATTATATATATATATATATCGGCTTGTAGAAAAGCATGGTGCCAACGCCACAACAATAATAACAACACACGCCACAACACGCTAATCCCTGATTACATTGTTGATTAATCCGTTTAGCTGTCTGGGAGTAAACGGAGAGGACAGCAAACCCGGTCCGTGCAGTTTTGAATACC